TTCGAAAAAAATGAAATTACGAGTTATCAATTTTTTTATGAATAAAATATATGGATAATATGTACTGTAACAGGTTTTTACGTGACTATTTCCTAGAGTTTTTAGATATACACAATAATGTCGGCATAAATACAGGGTGATTTTTTTTTATAATAATGTTTAACAAAAATTAAGTACATTTTAAAATAAAAGCTATATTAATAAAACTCAAAATTATTATCACGGTGAATGTTTGAAAACACAGCACATTTTTAAGCGTGTGAAGTTCAGATGAGCGATGTGTGGACGAGTGACAGTATCGAACACCTAGCAGAGCGTATTGATATACTACTCCGTTCATCTGAATTTCAAATATTTGTGAATAATTAAGAAATAATAAAGACAATAGTAAATACACTACCAGTTCTGAATTTTGATCTTCATGGTTTGTTTCAATATTCAAAGTAACATTATAATGGTTCAAAAGGTTAAAATAAAAAAATAATATTATAATATATTATGTATGATAGTGGTTTTTAACCTCTGATGGATTATTCTATGGTAATCCTCGATACATATATTGGGAGTCCACGACAGTCTTAACACATAGCATACTTCAATACGTGACACGAATGCATTATTGAAATATTGTTGGTTTATTTATTTTTTCATATATAATGTAACCTATTATGGCTGCATACGAACTGAGTTCCAATATAACCTTTTATGACAAATTGAGTTCCGGGATGTTTTAGAGTAGGTATAATACTAATTGAGTCCAAGTTTTAATACTAACGAAGTTCCGTCAAATTTAATATATAAAAAAAAAAAACATTTTCCTACCCATTTTATAGATTTAGGACTGTCTATAATAAAAAAAATTCTATATGGACGGTTAAATTATTTTTTTTTTTTTTAATATTTTATAATCTAATAATATTGGGATTTAATATAATATGAATAATTTATGTATCCTTAAATAAATACAAATTATGATAAAACAACATTTTTTTATTGATAAAAATTTATGAGAGAAGCATAGTATGTATTCAAATATAGTTATTTTATTTGATATGAACAGTATCACGTCTCCAAACCTAAGCGTATATTAAGGCGTATCCCAAAGTAAGCGGTATAAGTGTGACAATAGCATATATTTTAGGCTGCACATGAAATAAAAAAAAATCGATGGTCAGTTAAAAATGGCCAGTTAACTAGTTTCGATTTTATTAAAAATGTGTCGTTCAATTTTTCACCAGTATTATAATTTTTAAATCTAAATTTAATAGTTTTATTATTAATTTTTTAATATATTTTTAATTATACATAATTAATATAATTTAATTGAAATATTTATAATTGCATAACAATGATATAAAGCAATATTTTTAATCTACTCTTACTAATAATTTAATATTAACAATCATAAACCTGTATAAAATGGGAAGAAAAGTAATATTTTTACTTTGGGACAAAATTCGTGTAGTCGTTTAGAAAACCCTGTACGCAATTCATGTGGAAAAGGGATTTCAGGACGCAATTCGTGTACACCGACATTTTAATGTCACGTGACATAATTTCTATTGTGTCTGGACTCTAGAGGTTGATTTTATATTTTACTCAAAATAATCCTCGGACTCATTCATACACTATTACTTTCCTAACCCCAGATTCAATTAGTATATGTCCCGTTTGTACCTGGAACTCATTTAGTATATTATTTTATTCCCGTTTAGATATAGAGACTCAACTAGTATACACCCTTATTATATAAGGGATAAATCTATTTTATCTTTATTATACAGCTGATCATATATGGTGGCATTTGATAGTAGATTCTACATCTAATAATTATATTATTAATATTTACTCATTAGCTTTTTTTGTTCATACTAAATGTACAAGCGTACAGAACTTTAGTCGGCAGCCGTATATTTTCTATCACTAAGTGCAGTTGATCGATTGTGCTCAATTATACCTACGTAATTTAGGGTTATACGTGATTTTTTTTTCAAATCATCTTGAAGACATTTAAAATAGACTGTTGGCTAAATTTAAAAAGTAAGGATTCTGACGTTGATAATGAAAAGATTCCGGTTATAGAAAAAAAAGTTAACAAAACAACGTTAGTATGCTAGTATTTATTTATTAATGTGTTACACGTGCAACAGATTTGAAAAAAAATCAAAACCATGATGTATGATATATTTTGAGATATTATCAAACAACGCTTCAAAACAAACAAAACTAAGAAGATACTTTGAAACTAATGTGTTTAAAAAATCCATTGATTTTTCTTTTCTTAAATAAATGGCAAGAATAGAGAAAAACTATGAAATTTATAAAAAAAACTGCAACTGATTGAATACATAAAAATTAAAATTTTTATTAAATTTACTAAATGAAAAATTAAGCATAATATTAAAATGTAATAATTAATGCATAAATGTGTATGTTTTGTTATGTTCACTTATGCAGTTTGTAATATAAAATAATTATTTTAATTTTTGTTATGATAACATGAGACTATTTTTAAGAAAAAAATATTCAAAAATAAGCCGATAAGAAGGTCCGCAATTTCTAAAAATCTTTTGTGTTAGGGTTATTATTTTTTTTTTTTTTAAATTATGTTAGCATGACGAAACGAGAATCGAAAAATGATTAACCGCCTGTAGCATAGCCACTGGTACAGAAATAGGTTTTAAGAACCGTAGTAGATATTATTTGCTGAAAACCATTTCGGATATTATAACGGTTCGCTGTATTATTGTGTACACATTACGAAATTGGTCACTAATCGCGGCGGCATTATTGACGCAGCCATAGCTCTGTTTGGACACGTGAACACATGTACGAACGTACAAACAATGAAAATAATAATAATGATGATATAATGGTGATGATGATAATGATGATCACGTGGTTGTGTGTTTTTCCAATAAATCGAATGAAGATTACAGCCGCTTGCGGATCATTCCCATGGCGCCGTTCCTATATCCAAGTATGTATGGCGACTGTATACCATAGTGAATTATGTAGTGGGTAGGTACTGGGTGCTGGGTATGTGATACATACCTTGGTACACATAGTCCAATGCGTAAAATGTATTATGAAAGTATTAAACTATTTAATATTCAACATAATTACATAAAAACACATCAGCTGTGATATGTTGATTACGTCGATATAAGCCAGAAGATGGTAGACCATAATATTAACGCAGATAATACTATAACGATAGTGTGATGTGGTGAATATAAATATTAAGCAATATATTAAGTGAACACTTAAGTATATTATATTATTAAGTTATAACACTTATATTAAGTGATATAACCTTTATCGGTTATATCATAAATTATTGATAAGTCACAAAATGAGAATAGATATAGTGTATAAATATATGTATTAATATCAATTTTGAATACAATATCATGCTAGGGTTTCAGCCCTCCCTCCACCGTTTAAAACAATTAGTAAGTGGGTATGTACAATTCAAATTTGATATTCGCCATACTGCATTTTTTGTAGTTCAGCGCCATTGGATCAGTCATGAACCGGATAACGAACGTCGCGATTTTTATGGATAAGAATGCGAGTTACGTTAGATCGAGTTCGGTTCACGGAATCGAAAAAGTTACCTAGACTCCGTGCAACCATGTTAGTTGGCCAAGAGATAATGTGACGTAACTTCGTAGAGCGGGTCTAACGGTAAACGAGACCCGGTAAAAGCAGCCGTCCCTTATGGTTCGCGACCTCTTCAATCATACTTCCCCGCAGACCGGCACGATTGCGTATGTGACTTCCGGCTCATGGCATTTCTGGGAGCCAACATACACACACACACACGATGCAAAATTGTTAAACTTGTCACGGTAGCTCTTAAATATGCCAACTTCATCCATTACGCTTTATTTTCATTTTACTGTATTTTAGTATTTACGTTATATTTATATTAGTTTTGTGGTTGTAGATTATAATACGTTTAATATGAGGAGTTCAACTGATATCAATAACAATTTATAAAATATTCGTAAAAAAATTAGTTACAAATATAATATTTAAATGGTCAAAATGATAAGAATTGATAAGTTATTCGCAAAAAAATTCAAAGATAGTATAAAATTATAATTAGTAACAATATTATGTAAAAATACATCGAATATAATAAAATTAATTAGCGTTACGATTTGATCCTTATGGTTAAATTTTTGTCCACAATCACAAAACTAATATGCATATAATGTAAATACTTAAAGATAATACAATTAAAACAAATCAGATTAAAATTCTGAACAGATCACTACCAGTACTTACAGTACCTCTTTTCACATAGGGCTACGTCGCTGTTACATCTGTGTACGAGCGTAGTGAAGGGAATCGACACTTTTAGGAGCCACCGTGGTATGTTTTAAGATTTCGCAGGATCACAGAGACGGACAATGTGGTAGCGAAGTCGGTTCGAAGCTCGGACGTATGCTTACACCACTGGAGATCATCTGCGGCATGTGCACGGTCGAACATGCAAGAGTCGATCGCGTCCTCGACCATCGTCCTCGTTTCCCATCCCGTTGGGCGACGGAACGATGAATTTTCGTATCGAACAGCTGCCCGACGTGCGCGTCATAAACGTACAGACGATAAGAAAATCGACGGTGGCTTGCGTATCTCGTTTAAAATATGCACACATATTTTTGTACACATATCACAGGCGTATTTACGGGTCACGTCTCTAACGTACAGGCACGGCCTAAAATATTGGGTTTTAATTGTATTACCAACTAATGGAAGTTGAAAGCTATAACCCCAACTGTACGACGTTTGAAATTATAGTAGGAATCAAGAACATTTGTAATTCTATTCGTATTGTAAGGTTATAATGATTTTTTTTCATAATTTTAAAACCGTAATTTCTTTCCCTCTGAATAGTAACTTGGTATTGCATTTATATGTTTGTATTGTGCTGCTGAAAAGGTCTGAAAACGCCTATGATATATTTAAAATTATATTACGATGCTCACGTCAATTTTTGCTCCAGGTATCGTGTGATTGATAAAGGGCGGCACGCGTCCCCGGATGTACTGGAACAATTTGTCATTGCTCTTGGTCCACTGCACTTTGTACAGCTGATTGTCGGCCACCGTGTGATTGCACCTCAGCACAACTGTCTCGCCTAGCTTAGCGTATCTAGGCACTATGGCCGACAGCTCGAACAGGTCCTTGCAGTCGGAAATCGTAACTGGGGAGAAAAAAAAATCATAAATCGCATTCATATTATAGCGTTATGTAACGGAGAAAATAAAGTAACTGAATAATGCGTGATTATGTCTAGATACTTTGTTTTCTTCTAACAAGAACCGCACAGTTCGATGCATTGTTAATTTATCTAACCAACTTCAAAACACGTGTTATACTGTGATTACTGTAAAGTCAAATTTTTCGTGTCCGTCGCGCTCAAAACAAATACCAACTCAATTTTGGGATTATATAGTTTTTAAATTATGTCCTAAAAGGAATTGTTGTATTACCGTTTACTGGAATCGCATAGACAATTGAAAGTATTACGTTGACATATCGTCGTATCAATTCGATGATTATTTTATAGATGACTTTCTTCTTTTTTTTTGATTTTTTATTAGGTATATACAATCTGTTCCTTTAGAGACAATAAGAATATGTGATAATAGAAACATAATATTAACAAGAAAACTTGATGGGAGGAGTCACCCAGTGGTTACACTACCCTAATTGATTTTTTTTTTTTTTACTTTAATTACTCATTGAGAAGATCTCTACACCATTTTCTTCTGAGCCTCCTAGGAGGGTTTCCAGGAATTGTGAGAGTGGCAAGGTTTGAGATGAGAGGGTTAGTATGAGAAGGGAGTTTTGAGTGGAAACGCTTGTAAAAAGTTACTGCTTCTTCGTGGACTGTTTTAATTTTTAGATCGATGTGTAAGGTTAGGTTTGAAATATAAGGAGGAGAATTTGTGATTTTACGAAGGATGTTGTTTTGGAAGGTTTGAATTTTATTAGTGTTGGATTTTTTGGCATTTCCCCAGAGTTGAAGACCATAGGTCCACATAGGCTTAAACAAGGGTTTATAAATTAAGAGTTTAGTATTTAAAGAAGTGTGTTTATTTTTTGTAATAAGAGTTTTGAGGATACGGAGTCGTGCATTTAAGGCAAGCCTTTTAATTTTTATATGATGTGACCATGTGAGACGACGGTCAATTGTCAGACCTAGATATTTAGACGATTGAGAGGAAGGGATTTGAATATTGTCTAAGGATACCATAGGACAGGGAGGAAGACGAAGAGTGAACGTTGTATGAAGCGATTTGGATTGGTTAACTTTGATACGCCATTTTTTGTACCAATCAGCCATTAGGTCGAGGTGGAGTTGTAGATTGAGGGAAGCTATGTGAGGATTATCATGGATTGAAATAATAGCCTTGTCGTCGGCAAACTCCGCAACAGTTGTGTACGGAGAGGTGGGTTGATCGGCAGCGTATATGTTGTATAATAGAGGAGAAAAGATGCCTCCCTGTGGAACACCTGCACTAATCTTTGCCAAGCCAGAAAAGGATGTGCCAACTCTGACCTAAAAGTAACGATCCGTGAGGTAGGATTTGATTAATAAATAATAAGTTGGATGGAATATTGGCTTTATTTTATATATCAATCCCTCATGCCAAACCCTATCAAATGCTTGGGATATATCTAAGAAGATGCAGGAGCAATACTTTTTTTTTCAAGGAAGAAAGAGATAGCATCGACTCGTCTGTGCAGTTGATGTATTGAGGAATGAGAGGAATGAAAACCAAATTGAGTGGTGGTAATATGGAATTGGCAGAAATGTATGGAAGAATTCTTTTAAGAATTAATCTTTCTAGAATTTTGCTGAAGAAGGAGAGGAGACTTATTGGTCGGTAGGAGGAGGATATGTCAGGAGGCTTATTAGGTTTTGGAACTAGAATAGTTACAGAGAATTTCCAAAGCATGGGAAAATATGACAATCTCAGACACGCATTATAAATAAATGTGAGAAGAACAATGGCTCTTTTGGGGAGGGACCGGGCCACTTCTGCAGTTATCAGGTCAAACCCCGGTGATTTCTTGAGACTGTACTTTTGAATTGCAAATTTTACATCGCCAGGAGAGATATGCTTAACTGTAAGAGAGATAGGAAGAGGAATATCAAGTAGACGATTTACTACGTCAGTATGTGAAGGTAATTGTATATCCGGGTGAGGCGTGAAAGTTCCAGTTAGGTGTTCTTTAAACAGTTCTGCTTTTTCAACATCGGTTGATGCAAATCGACTGTGGGGATTTATTATTGGAACGAGCGGATGTTTGTATTTTAGAAAACTTTTGGTAGCTACCTACAGACTGCCATTATTAGGTAATAAATTTGAGAGATGGTTTTCAAAGGATTGATTTTTATGTTTAGCTAGTATTTTTTTCAGCGAGTTAGATAGATTGTTATAAATACGTTTGTGGGATGGGAGACGTGAACGTTGGTAAACGGCCCTTGCTCTGCGCTTATTGAATATAAGGATACGAATATGTTCGGGAACTGAAGGAGCAGCATTTGGATACTGTATTTTAGTAGAACCAGAAACCCATGTTGCAGATTGAATTACATTTGTTAGGTTGTTTATGGCTACATCAATTTCTTGGGGGGACTTAAGACTAATTTTGAGATTTATGTTTTTATCCACCAAGTCGTGAAATTTGAGCCTGTCAGTTGAGTGGAGAAAGAGTTTTGGTATAGAAGGCCGGATTGAAGGACAGGCACTGACAGTCAGGAGCACTGCAGAGTGGTCCGAGCAGGGTTCTAAAAGATTGGTAGTCGTGAAGAATAGGTTGCGAGGTGATTTGGATACAAATATGTCTAGTATGTCTGGTTTTTTGCGTAAGATCGGTAAAACAGATTACACCTTTTACAAAAATTGGTGGGGGAAGGGTTGATTTAATTCCGATATTGATGTTGTTCTCTGGAATCGATTCGTTAGAAGTCGATGAGGTAGGTTTTGTTGAAGTGGTGGGCTGAGGTTCATCTTTTGAACCTTCAAAGCGATTTGATGTAAAAAATAATTTTTTATTGTTTTGTATTTTTGGCGAATTTGGTTCGGAAGAAGAGGAAGAGAGGTTTCTTTTACTTGGATTTTTTTTTTGACTGTGCCGTGGACCAGTTTCCTGACGACGAGTTTTTCATGGTAACGTCTTGATTACCGACTGATTGATTAGTGTTGACAGCAGTTGATACGTTGTTTAGGCGAGCAGGCTATAGTTTAGTGATGTCGTTAGATTTAGTGCTGACTAAATTTGTGTTTTTATTTTTGATTGTAGATTGCGACATAATTATTATTGCGATAATTCGAGGTCACTGCCGCCGCAGCGGCGTGCGATAAGACGGCACACAAGTAGTTATAGATGTAATGAATACGTGAGTAATCGACGATGAGATTTTTTTTTTGTTATTTTTATCAATTACGAGAAAAAATATTAGAGAACTAAGTAATCTTTAATATTACATAGTCTATGTTATTTCGCGAGATGTTTTAAGTGTAAATTTTAAGTGTAAATTGACACATAGATCAATATACGGAATAAATAAAATCAAAATCACAGGACGGAGCGCAAGCAGTGTGCGCGACGGATGCCGAACACGAACTGAGATGACTTTCTAACTGTAAAACAAGTTTCGGTCACAAAATCCCATATACTAATCAAAGTAATCACATAATTCCTTCTTTTTACTTATTCTTTATTCATTGTTGCCGAAGAAAAAAAATCCCTGCAGTCCCGTTACACCTCCACATCATAACTTTGACCCTGCACGATTAGCTGTGCACAACCTAGAACGAACGGACTATGTTACGACCCTTGGGAGCCGTATAACGGGTACGCGAGCCAATCTCTTTAAACGGTCACCGCACTTCACGTGCGCTAAATACACGTAAAGCGTGGTCCCCTTCGAAATGTAGACGCCACTTGTATGAACAGAAAAGTGTTATCGTCTCCAACACTACGTGTACGTAATGGTGTAACAAGAGTAGGGCGAATTCTACCCACGCCAGGTTGAAAAATTGCAAATTAGCGCATAATAATGCAAAATTTCTATTTTTATTCTACCTTAAAAACGAAATGTTTCAGTTATGCTTTTTAAAATGTGTAGATTTTGTCTAATTGTACAAACTACGTGTGAATTCAATGATGAGATTGTGAAAATAGCACACGTGAATTTATATGTATGAAATTTTATATTAAAATATAATCAATGAATTTACCACTCTAAAAGCGAGAAAAGTAAATTTTTAAATTAGACGTGTGTGAGTTTTCACGCAAGCATTGGATCCAGCGTAACAAACGCATGTAAGTTCCATCCGAAACCACTGGAATCTAAAAAAATTATAACTCTTCCGTCGTTCTATGCATTTACATATACGCCGTACCACCACCGTGTACTTCTGACGTCTTTACATGCATTTGCATTGCGGAGTTCAATTTTTCAGCGCGAAAACGGGCCGAACCCATACGTGCGCACAAAATATTTACATGCGCACACACGATCAATTATTGGTGTCCAAACGATTTCGTTTTAAATTATTTTTCATACAGGACGTAATCGAGTTTTAACAAACATGACCAAACTTTATTACTCAATCGTAATAGACCTCGATGTTTTACTCAATATTTATACGAATACATTCGATCTTACGGTAATGTGTGTATGTATAACACATGGTATGGTATGAACCGAAGATCATTGTACGTTGTACATTTTTTCTGTTAAATAAAAATTAATAGTATAACGGATTTTTGGTGTATTAAAGTTACAGTCGTGAGCGTTTTCATGCATACAGTATTATTTTTGGATTTTTATACATCAGCAAGACGTGATGAACCTGACTGTCTACGTTCACTGGTAGTACATTGTATTTTTATCTGATATTATCAATTAAATTTTTGATTTTCTGATATTAAGTTATTAGAAAATCTGACTACTAATTGGTCGTTTGGTTCTAGGTTCAGTAATATATTTCTTTAAATCGTTAAAAAATATACGGTAACTTATTATACAATTACCATTAACCATTACCATATAAGTCAATGTACATTTGATAAACATAAGATATACTTTTCTCAGTATTCAAATGACAGCACGTAAAATATAAAATGATACCGTTCTTATTTACATTAATAGCTCGAAATATTAACAAACATTGTATATAT